CACCGCACGACAGCAGCATTGCTCCAACATTCCTGGCAAGTCTTGGGAACCACGTGTTGATTTGCCATATAATGGTGTTTACCAGGCGTGGTCTTTCTGTCCTCCAGTTCTCAGCAAACATGCACTTTCGTTTGCTCCACTCTGACGATGCTTGAGGAGAAGTTTGATGAGGTAGTTCTTCCTCCAACTGATCCACTGTAGCATCACTTAAGGCATGCTGGAGCTCCAGCATAAACTCCTCTGATGAAAGAGGTACAAAGAAAAGTAGAAATAAATAAGGATAATAAATAAGGAGGATTAAGTATTGTTCAAAACCATGCCATGAGAAAACAATAATATGTTACATTAAGCTAATGACTGACAAATATCATACCAATTGTCTCAGGAGTGAAGACCACCTCAGTCAGGTTCGGAGCAGCATCTGCTTGAGGCAGGCGGCTACAATCAGCTGTAACACAGAGAATATCATTCACTGTTCACTGTACTGAGCATTGCCAAAAAATAAGAGAAGTATTATAGAAGTTAAGAAACACTTCAACAAAATTAAAACAAGGTGTACAATTAGAAATATAAATGCATGTTCCATATATAGACACATGCCAAGATCAAATCTGAGCACTGATGCGAAAATATGTACATTTTTTGTGCAAGAACACCACTCACCCTTAGAAGGTTGCTTCCTATTTGATATCGTGGCTTTGTACAGATACGGCTTCCATCATTTCTCCTTTTCTTCCACCTCACCATTGGCACTGCAGCCTCTTGAACAGCAGTAGCCTCCTTCTGCAGCTTGCAGAGGAACTCATCAACCCCCTTAAGATCATCACTGACCTCACTCTGCAGTAACTCCTGCAGCTCCGAATCGCTCATGATGATCAGAACAGACAACAAATTGACAAAGACAGTGACAAAGACAGAGAAATGCAAGCGACAGGAACAAGACACAGAGAAAGAACCACAATACAATAGAAAAGCAGAACAGACAGAAAGACAGAAAGACAGATGGGCTCTTAAAAGTGCCTTTGTGCTGTGCTCTAATGTATACCTAGTAAATACAGATCTGATGATGTGCTGGACCGGGTGGAAAAAAAAAACATAGATTGCACAGGTAAGAATGGTATACATTGGTAATCACTGCATTACATCAATTTCAAAGAATTAAGTCTTTATAAATGGGTGGAGTTTATGTGCCATGATAATTTTCTATGACATACCTAATTCTAATCCTTTAGTTTAAAATGAAGCTGTTGGTTCAAATCCTATGGTGGTATTTGCTGTTTAGTTGTCAAATTGTAGTTTGTTGACCTCATTTATGGTTCATATCTCTGTAATTACTGGCCCTATGAAATCATTGTTGTTCGCCTTTAAGCTTTGGTCTTTCTTTCTTATTCTTTCTTTCTATTCTATTCTGTATATATTCCACATTTTGTATATATCGTACTTGCTGTTCCTTGCACTTCTGATGAGATGCTAAAACACATTTTCTTACCTTGTGTTTATACATGACCTTGTATTTATGCAAGTGTAATGACAAAAAAAAATTGAATCTAAATCTGATAGTTGTCGATAAATTCTTTATGGAAGAAGATTTGTCTACAAGTATGGAAGAATTTATATCTCTTGTCGACCAAACAAATAGCCTAAAGATAATCAAAAATGTCCTATTAATACGTATGGAAATTCTTTCCAAAACCACTGAATCTGTCAGATTTATGTTTGTCCTCCATTTGAAACATTGTAAAATTCTACCTGCTGTAATCATACTTCCCATCGAGTCATTTGGGGCTTTATGGCTTTTCATAAATTAATAATATATCGCGTTTTAATGCATTCTTAAGATTCTGAAATAATGTGCTACTTACCTCCACAAACGGAAAACAGCAAATGCTGGTGGGAGATGGCGGGAACTGGGATAGGAGTCGTGGACGCTGACGTCATTTGCGCGGCTTTATGAATATATTTTAAGTATAAAATTTGTAATATTCCACGTACGGATATTTTACACAAGGGAGTAATAAAGGCGATGGGTAAGATTAATTAATAAAAATGTAAATATAAATTACAATCGATGAACCTGGCGCCTTACCAAACCAATGAACTATGGGAAGTGTGGGGGGGGGGGGGGGGGGAATAATGTTTTTTTGTTTAGTTTTGTTTTTAAATCACCACTAATAGAATTTACTGACAAAACAATATCATGAGAAATAGGCTACTTTTACAAACACTGCACAAGCCACTTTAAAAGCGTCAAGTTATTCGATGTTTTGAGAGTTCCGTGTCAGTGGTAACCATGGTAACTTCTTATAGTCAGTCAGAACCAATGGCCTACAAATTCTAGAATGATTCTCCGGTCGCTGTCTAATAGTGGCAGAGATAAGAGTCCTACTGGTGTACGCGCTCGTGCGCGGCCGCCTCCCGTACGCCCGCCTCCAGCGCAGCGCCTCTTCCCGTGCACCGGCCTCCCGTGCGCGACCGCCATCCGTGCGCGCCCGCTTCCCGTGCGCCCGCCTTCCCGTGCGCGTCCGCCATCCCTGTGCGTCCGCCTCCCGTGCGCGGCCGCCATCCCGTGCGTCCGCCTCCCGTTCGTCCACCCGCGCTGCGTTTCGTCCCGCGCGGCGGCCTTCCGTGCGCGGGTGGCTCTAAACCGGAACTATAACCAGGACTAAAATCAGAACTAAATCCAGGTTTAAACCAGGTCTTAAACCAGGACTAGAAAATATGAATAATATTTCGAACAAATATTGAAAATATTGTCTCAAAAAGAACAGCGCAACTCGTCACATTTGACCGCTGTGGGAATCTCCTTAAGATGAATGAAAAACACTTCGCGTCATTGCTGGACGCAAATGGGCTCTACTTTCGTTTTGTATTGACGCCAAAGGGCACTGACAAAATGTCACTTATTGACGCTCTCGGAGTGAGACTGTGTTGGTTTTTAATCACACACATTAGTTTATGTAAATTAATCATGTGGGTTTAAGTTTTGTTTCTGTAAAACATAAACAAATGTGCTCCAGTCTGTGTGGAGAGGGAAACCTGCAGACACAGAAACGACGAGTCCGGACGCAGATCGTTTACGTGATATGATGAGTCGTTTCAGTGTAAATGTGACTTTAAGTGTCAAAGATCAAACTCTGCTCTTCTAGTTTAGATCAAAGTCCAAACTGTGTGATTATTATTTGTGAAATGTGGAGTAAAACTTCAGATCCAGGATTTTTAACGTGTTAAAAAGATTGAAGATAAAGTGTTGGGGAAGTTGAGTCACTGGAGAATCTGCAGCTTCAGCTCGATCCGTGCGGATGTAAACAGACACACGTGACCAAACAAACTCAAACTACGACTCAAAAAACTGGAGTCACAGCCCAGACGTTTTGTGGACTGGACTCATTATTTGCAAAGGACAATTTCTCTGGATAATGCGGCTGCAGTTTAGACTTTATTCTCCAGCTCTCGTAAAGTGTTAAATTTAATCATTATTTTCGTTGTTTCCCTGAGTTTGTATTTTGCGTTTCTGTGTAGAGGAACATAAACTAAATCCTCCGCGTGTCATTAAACCTGTGTGAAAATACTGTGATTTTAACCGTGTCGGGTTCGGGTCTGATTCAGTCACTGCTCGATCCGACGTGGGCCGAGCTCGGACAGAAAAAATTCAGCCTGGTCCACTCGCCTGGGCTGAGTTTTTGAGAATGAGTTGAATAAAGTTTGACTTATGAGTGTTTTATTTCGCTTAATGCACCTTATGTAAGAAAACAGACGAGAAAATTCAACATGACTGAGTTTTTCGCCTTAAAATCTGAAAAAAAACATACAGTGGATGATGCTCTTCAAACTCCAGACACACGGTTTAGTAGTGAACAAAGAGACGGTTTAGTGTTTAGTTCCACTTTACAAAAAGGAGAAACTGTCCAAACTTCAGGCTGGTGGAACGTCCGTCATCTTCACACGAGGAAATCTCTTCAAACCCGTCAGGAATGCCTCAAACAAACCCAGGAACTTGGTCTAAGTCAAAGTCTCGGTCACGTCTCAGAGCTCGTTCTTCTCTCGTCCCGATCCACCTCCGAGCGGCGCACACCCGCTCGGCCCCGGGCTCACGGGCGCAGACTCCGAACCTGGGTTGGGTTCCGGTTGGGTCTTGGGGTTCTCGGAGTCCTGGTTGGGTTCCGGTTGGGTCTTGGGGTTCCCGGAGTCCTGGGGTTCGGTTGGGTCTTGGGGTTCTCGGAGTCCTGGTTGGGTTCCGGTTGGGTCTGGGTCTGGGGGTTGAAGGCCAGAGAGGCAGAGTTGATGCAGTAGCGTTTTCGTGTGGGTTTGGGTCCGTCGTCAAACACGTGTCCCAGATGAGCTCCGCACTGCGAGACAAAACAAAATGACGTCAAGGATTTTTAAATTTTCAACTTTAATGAGCTGCAAAGTTACACAGTGTTTCTTTAATCACAAACTAAAATATTTGGTCTTAAACAAACGAAAAAGTGTGGCCCCTTTACACAGTCTGTGGTTTAAGTTAAGGTTCGGCAAGTCAACGGAGTGTTCCTGAAAAGAGTGTGTGCCGTCAGGTGCAGTGTCGGCAGGTGCAGTGTCGGCAGGTGCAGTGTCGGCAGGTGCAGTGTCGGCAGGTGCAGTGTGTCTGACCTGTGCACAGTTGGTCTCCACGCGGTGCATGCCGTAGGTGAAGTCGTCCGTCAGGTCGATGGAGTCTTTTTTGAGGAGGTCGTAGAACGACGGCCAACCTGAAAACACAAAACACTTTAAAACCTGAAAACACAAAACACTTTAAAACCTGAAAACACAAAACACTTTAAAACCTGAAAACACAAAACACTTTAAAACCTGAAAACACAAAACACTTTAAAACCTGAAAACACAAAACACTTTAAAACCTGAAAACACAAAACACTTTAAAACCTGAAACACAAAACACTTTAAAACCTGAAAACACAAAACACTTTAAAACCTGAAAACACAAAACACTTTAAAACCTGAAAACACAAAACACTTTAAAACCTGAAAACACAAAACACTTTAAAACCTGAAACACACAAAACACTTTAAAACCTGAAAACACAAAACACTTTAAAACATCAAACTCCTGTGAGATTAAGTCGTGTTCTAAAGCAGTGATCGGCCAAATGAGTCGACGTGTCGACTTCAGCAACTGACGCCTGTGCAGCTGTGGCTGTTCTGTGTGTCTCAGTACTGATTTACTGAAAAAACTATATTATTTATTTGGTGACTTTATCTTCTAGTCGGCTGTGATTTGTTTAATGAGTCTGTGTCTCCTTCTTGGTCTCTTCTTTCATGTGTTGAATCAGAACATCACAGACGAGTGTCTCCAGTCTGTCAGACTCTGTTCTGTATCAAAACTTCTGCAGGAGGGAGTTCATTTTTTAAACCACCAGATGGAGCTAAAGAACCACCAGCACACAAATGTGTTCCACACACACGTTCCACACACACGTTCCACACACACACGTTCCACACACACACGTTCCACACACACACACGTTTCACACACACACACACGTTTCACACACACACACGTTCACACACACACACGTTCACACACCACACACACACGTTCACACACACACACACACACACGTTCCACACACACGCGTTCCACACACACGCGTTCCACACACACACGTTCACACACACACGTTTCACACACACACACGTTCACACACACACACGTTTCACACAACACACTTTCACACACACACACGTTCACACACACACACGTTCACACACACACACACGCGTTCCACACACACGCGTTCCACACACACGCGTTCACACACACCACACACACACGTTCCACACACACACGTTCCACACACGCGTTCACACACACACGTTCCACACACACACCACACACACACGTTCCACACACACGTTCACACACACACACGTTTCACACACACACACACGTTCCACACACACACGTTCCACACACACACGTTCACACACACACACGCGTTCACACACACACACGCGTTCCACACACCACACACGCGTTCACACACACACACGTTCCACACACACACACACACACGTTCCACACACACACGTTCCACACACACACGTTCACACACACACACACACACACGTTCACACACACACACGTTCCACACACACGCGTTCCACACACACGCGTTTCCACACACCACGCGTTCCACACACACGCGTTCCACACACACGCACACACACACGCGTTCCACACACACACGTTCCACACACGCGTTCCAACACACACGTTTCCACACACACACGTTCCACACACACACGTTCCACACACGTTCACACACGTTCCACACACGCGTTCCACACACGCGTTCCACACACACGTTCCACACGCGTTCACACACGTTCCACACGTTCCACACACGCGTTCCACACACGCGTTCCACACACGCGTTCCACACACACGCGTTCCACACACACGTTCCACACACACGCGTTCCACACACGCGTTCCACACACACGTTCACACACACACGTTCACACACACACGTTCCACACACACACACACGTTCACACACACACGTTCCACACACGCGTTCCACACACGTTCACACACACACACGTTCACACACACACGTTCACACACACACGTTCCACACACACGTTCCACACACACGTTCACACACCACGTTCACACACACACGTTCCACACACACGTTCCACACACACGTTCCACACACACACACGTTCACACACCACACACACGTTCCACACACACGTTCCACACACACGTTCACACACACACGTTCCACACACACGTTCACACACACACACACGTTCACACACACACGTTCCACACACACACACACGTTCCACACACATGTTCACACACACACACACGTTCACACACACACACGTTCCACACACACGTTCCACACACACACACGTTCCACACACACGTTCCACACACACACGTTCCACACACACACCACACACACACGTTCCACACACACACGTTCCACACACACACGTTCCACACACATGTTCCACTCACTGAAACCTCATCTACACGTCACTGTTCTAATGTTGTTCCCTCCTCAAAAACAGCTGAAGTTGTGTTTGTTTCATTCACACGTTTGAGTGACTCTTTATTATTAATCTGTTTACATCTACATCTACATCTCCAAAGCTGAAAACACAGTGGAGCACTTCCTGTATCAGCACATGATGACATCACAAGGTGGAACACAGTGTTTTCAGTTTGAGAGAAGAACTAGAAGAAGAGTTTGTGTGTTAAAGACGTGAATGAAACAAAACACAACTCCAGGTCTGAGTGTGACGAGGAAACAGCGTTAGAACATTAGAACATTAGAGCAGAGCAGAGGATCATGGGCCGTTTAAAAGTCGTTTAGTGAAAAACAGAGAAGATGAGAGACTGACCTGAGCCGGAGTCGAATTTGGTTTTGGAGCTGAAAGAAAAACAGAAAAAAAAACACGTCCGTCAGTGTGTCTGTGAGTGTGTCTGTGAGTGTGTGTGTGTGT